TTATGTAAGGCATTTGATCGCTTGTCTTGCTTTTGTTTATCTACTTCTCCAACACGCTGCATCCAGCGAAGTCTGCTGAAGCCTCCCTCCGCTGCTTGTTTGGGTGGGTGAATTGCAGGATGATCAACATCCCAGCCCTCCTATGACTGTATGTGTATTCAGAGCCAGTGAGCAACGCACTTTCAAAATAATAGCCTAATAATAGAAACTGTGTTAATGTGTGATAATTGTCGGCATTAATTAATTAATGCGTTGACGCAATAATAACGCGTTAACGTGCCCAGCCCTAAAACAATAATGTATTCTCTGGTTTTATGTAAATATAAGCAGCAACAGTTGAAGTAAACACATAGTAAAAGATGAAAAAATAATATAGCTTTGAAAAGGATGTCAATAACAATCAAGCTAATGCACTCGAGGCAAAGGTTCAGACCATGTAATAAATGTAACAAATGGATATACTTACATGGCCCTTTTGTTGCAGTAGGCAGAGTGAGAGATGTTTTGGAAAGAAGAATATTTTTAAGTGAATTGATAATTTGTTCATGAAAATCAGACAAGACAAACGTCAGTTGTATGAAAAATGTTCAAATGTAACAAGAAAAAAACTACTGCTACTGGTAAATAATAATAGCTGTCCAGTAGCTTCCCAAGTTGCAAGATTAAAATGTTATACACATTAATGAAGTCAAACATCTTACCAGTGACTGCAATAACGCTCACTCCACTGCTTCTGGCGTTTTCAAACACAGAGTAGAGAGTGAATACGTATGTAGTTCTAGCAGTGAGAGATGAGACTGTGTAAGTTACTGGTCCATCTCCATCTGGTGCAGTGATGCTGATCTCTGCATCATTAAACTGGAGAATAAAGCTGAAGTTGTTGTTCACTTTGTTCCACTGCAGAGTGATACTGGTCTCATCTTGTGCTGTTGATCTGAAGTTTTCTGCATTTGGAGGAGCTGAGACAAAAAGAGCAGTGAAAAATGGATTAATCTCTAAGAGTTTAAGATGGTTTTGTTTTGTGTCCCCACATTGATAAAAGTGACATATATTACCGGTAACTGCAGTAATGTTTACTCCACTGTTTCTGACGTTTTCAATCACAGAGAAGAGAGTGAATGTGTATTCAGTTGCAGCAGTGAGAGATGAGACTGTGTAAGTTACTGGTCCATCTCCATCTGGTGCAGTGATGTTGATCTCTGCATCATTAAACTGGAGAATAAAGCTGAAGTTGTTGTTCACTTTATTCCACTGCAGAGTGATACTGGTCTCATTTTGTCCTATTGATCTGAAGTCTTCTGTTTTTGGAGGAGCTGAGAGAGAAGAAGAGAAGGGAATGAATTTATCAACAAACAAGTTTTCGTAATAATTATTAATACTCCATGACTGTTAAGGTTGCTACATTTTGTATTCCATTGTTAAGAAAACCCAGTGGTGGCTATTGGCGATACAGTAGATGTTTGTATTAGCAAGAATGTCACATTTTATACCTAACCACATCACAGTGTGTTTGACAAGACATATGTAATGAACAATAAATTAAGAATTTAAAATTCATGGTACTTTAAGTAGGACAGTAACCATGGGGAAGTAAAGGAGTTTAAAGAGGTGGTATTATGCTCATTTTCAGGTTCAAATTCAGGGGTTGTACCAGAACAGGTTTACGTGGTTTAATTTTCAAAAAACACCATATTTTGTCATACTGCACATTGCTGCAGCTCCTCTTTTCACCCTGTGTTGAAGGCTTCGTTTTAGCTATGGAGTGATAATTCTTGTCTCTAAATGATCTTTGTTGGGACTTGCACATGGGCAGTTCCTAGTTAAGGCCTACTAGCCAATCAGAAGCAGAGAAAGGTGGGTCAGCGAAAAGACAGTAACCAGCTTTGATTCAGCTGTAGGCTACATGTTGCCGACCAGGTTGGCAACATGGACTGGAGCAAGAGTTTCAGAGCGGTGAGTTATTAATCTGTAACAAAAGTCTCTTTCATCCATTAAGTTTTAACTGAGCTCTGTCTCTACATCACAGTGACAACTTTATGTCCACTGACTGCCTGGAGGGTAGCTAGTGTTTGGAAGGGAGAGGAGAGGTGTGTGCTGCAGCTAAGTGGTTTTCCACTGGTGTTTTTGAGGGCATGTCGGGCTAGTGTATCAGCGAGCATTATGACACGTATTTACTTGTGACATCACAAAAAAGCGGAAGAAAAGGCTGGACTACAAACGAGCTGTTTTCAGGCAGTTCAGAGCAGAGTTTTCTGTGGGGGATGGGAACTCCCTTTGGGCTGGACTTTGGGCTTTTTCACTTTGCAAACCTATTACATGCACAAAAAAGATATAACTCAATAAAGGAGAGGGGAAAAGCCAAAAACCATAATACCACCTCTTGCCAATGTGTTGGCCAGTTCAGTACTTAACTTCAGGTAGAGAAGCAGGACATCAGCAAAATACAATAAAATGTTCCCCAGTCACACTTGTAGCTCCTGGGTAAAGCCCCAGAGCTAAAATATACACAGTGGAAACCCTACTTTTGCTATTATTTTAGGCTCTGTTTGATGAAGGAGGTAATGCTTTCATAGTTTCTTTTGAATGTACATCGCCCAGCATGAGGTGAGACAGATTAACCTGTTGCTTTTATTTATCTGCCTCTGATTAGTCCAGAGAACCAGGAGACGTTTTTTGACTTCAAGTTAGGTCAAATTAGCAACAATAAATATGCAACGTCTGGTTAGACTTTCAAAGGCCTATCTCTTAGTGTTGCCTTGTTGAAGTGGCACGTTGTTAATATCACATATAAACGGCACAGCTAAACGCAATTTGGTTAGATTTAAGCACTAAAAGTAGATTTAGGAAAAAATCATGGTTTGGGTTAAAAGAACTATGATATATACACCAGTTAACTTATGTAAGTTAAGTAATGTTATTTGCATAGCTTACTCAACTTACATAGCCTACGTAACTTGTAACAGTCAACTATACTGCCTTCATGTAGGCTTGTTTCATGACAAACTCTTTGAAAAGTGTACACATAGTGCCATTCCATAGAGTAGCAGCTGAATGACCTCACACAACAATGGCATTAACTAAGTTACCCTCTGACATTTGCAATATGTTTTTTTTCAATAAGGGTTGCTGAGAAGTCTTAAATATCTTGGAGTTATCTTTGATCAGGACATGTCGTTTAAGTCTCACATTAAGCAAATTTCAAGGACCGCCTTTTTTCACCTATGTAATATTGCAAAAATCCTGTCTAAAAATGATGCAGAAACACTAGTCCATGCATTTGTTACTTCTAGGCTGGATTACTGCAATTCTTTATTATCAGGCTGTTTCGAAAAAGTCCGTTAAGACTCTTCAGCTGATCCAGAATGCTGCAGCACGTGTTCTGACAGGAACCAGGAAAAGAGATCATATTTCTCCTGTTTTAGCTTCTCTGCATTGGCTTCCAGTAAAATCCAGAATAGAATTCTTCTTACCTACAAAGCTCTTAATGGTCAGGCAACATCTTATCTTAAAGAGCTCATAGTACCTTACTACCCCACCAGAGCACTGCGCTCCCAGAATGCAGGGTTACTTGTGGTTCCTAGAGTCTCCAAAAGTAGACTAGGAGCCAGAGCGTTCAGCTATCAAGCTCCTCTCCTGTGGAACCAGGTTCCAGTTTGGGTTCAGGAGGCAGACACCATCTCCACATTTAAGAGTAGGCTTAAGACTTTCCTCTTTGATAAAGCTTATAGTTAGGGCTGGCTCAGGTGAGTCCTGAACCATCCCTTAGTTATGCTGCTATAGGCCTAGACTGCCGGGGGATTTCCCATGATGCACTGAGCTCCTCTCTCCTCTACTTTCTCTCCCTCTGTATGCAACCTCATCCCATTATTGCATGTTACTAACACAACTTCTCCCCTTTCTGGTAGTCTTGTGCTTTCTCGTCCCTCTCCTCTCTCCTATCACTTCCTGCAGGTTTTCTGGCTCTGGAGCTGTGGAGTCTGGATCTGTGGTTGCGGGTCACCTCCTGCCCCCGTGTTCCTGCTCGACACCCTCTGCTGCAACGACTATTGTTGCTAGTCTTATTGTTATTATTGTTATTATAATCATTAACATTACGATGGTTACCATTAACACTATTATAAATATCTGTACCATTTTTCATTTAGTCTATAGCAACATTATCTTCACTGTGTGTACCTCTGTGTGTATATTGTGTAGGCTGCCTCCCTCCCCTCTCTCTCTCCTTCCATCCCTCTCTTTCTTTCTCTCTCTCTCCCTCTCTCTCTCTCTCTCCCTCTCTCTCTCCTTCACCCCCAACCGGTCGAGGCAGATGGCCGCCCACCCTGAGCCATGGTTCTGCTCGAGGTTTCTGCCTCTTAAAAGGAAGTTTTTCCTTGCCTCTGTCGCCTAGTGCTGGGCTTCTGTAAATATCATCACAGAGTACGGTCTAGACCTGCTCTTTTGTTTATAATAAATAAATTTTATTTAATTCTCTCCGCATGCGGACTAGGTTAATTGGTGACCCTAAAATTGTCCTTAGGTGTGAGTGTGACTGGTTGTTTGTCTATGTGTGGCATGTTGACATTATCACTGACATGATCGCTATTTCTCAATTTAAACAGAATTATACTGATGAGAAACATATAAGTAAGTAAGTATAGATGGTTGATGTTTTGAATAATAAATAATAAAAATTTTTATGGTATTTGTTGTTTTTCTTGTTCTGAAACATTCATTTCAATAGCAGATTTCTGCAATCAGAGTTTTCATTTTATTTGACTTGATTTGGGTGATTTTGTGTCTTTTGAGAACATTTTATACATAGCAAACATTAACGTTACAGACAAGAAAGTAATTTTCTTTAGGAAGATAAATGTTACTGTGCTGTTTACAACATGATCACTAGATTTCCACATGTTTATCTGCTATAGATAGTATGTTATTCTGAGCAGCATTTAGCAGAAGAACATTGTTCTAATGCAGAAATGAATCTCTATGTGAGCAGAAATAAGATGCATTACTTGTTGAGTAGCAGATGAACGGGAAAGTGAGGGAGCAGTTATCATCTGACCACCGTCCTGAGTTACTGAACACTGTGGTGACACACTGCTCTGTGCTGTCTGGTTGCCCACTGGCCCAGTAATGAAACAGAGACGTGCTCCCATCAGACCACAGTTGTTCCGAGTGTAGACCGATCCACACAGAGTCCCCAGCAGCCAGGTTTCTGATGACATCATTTTCGGTCTGATCACGTATACTGAGAGAGAAACAGTAGTATATACACATCAAGGGTGAGTTGAATATAACTGAAGAGGTAAAAGATAACAGATTTTGTTGGTATGATTATAGTCAGAAGAATAATCACGGTTTCACATTTATCATGATTAACATGCATTAATTAATTTCACAACATTAGTAATGACTTAAGTTTATTATATAAACCTTTACTTATACAGGAAATGTCCCATTGAGACACAGTCTCTTTCACAAGGGAGTTAATGTTTAATTACATTAACAATTATATTTCTATAATATGTAAGTATTATTAGGGGGAATACTAACTTCACTTATCCGCCAGGGATAAGTGAAGTTATTAAGGAGCGTAATAAACTGAACTGTTATTGTCATCAACTCTCGTCTGTGACGGACCACTCACTACGGTTGAGTCTGTGCTGTTAATGCCATACCAATAAGCCTTTGGTGTTGCGGTCAAGTTGCATGTTTGGTACCCTGTAAACCCAGATTCAAATCTGGGTGAGGTGACTGTTCTTGCCTTTCCGTCACATCATCTATACATATAAGTTTTTGTGAAAATGACAGAAAGACACTGAGAACATCTGTCATGCAGTGTTATTACTAACTGAAATGCATTTAACTGTTAGTCTATAAGCTCCTGATGTTATGTTAGTGTTTTACACCTGGCATATTATCATACAAAGCCTAACTTTTAGGTTTTAAGAGGACTACTTCTTCAAAGAAGTGATTTGCACTGCGAGGAAGCTGCTCAGCGCAAATGTTCAACTACTTTGACCGCATGCCATGTGCAAGCCTTTGAAAATAATGGGTCTCATAGTGCAGCAGTGCTGTTGTTGCAGTGGGTCTGAAAGGTTACACCGGCTTTGTTTGTTTACGTTGCACTGAAAGCTGGACTCTCACCTCTATGGCATCGATTGTAAGTGACACCTTGATACTTAATTCCCAATCAACTTGCCACGTTAAAGTTATTATGAATTACATTTACTTGGTGCTGCATCAAATTTGATGCAGTTATTTGAGCTTTTAGCAGCGACCTTTTAACAGCAAGTTGTAGAACAGGTGATCCGTCATATAATAATAATAGTGCCGTCCGGTAATCGCTGCACCCCCAGTTGGGAAATATAATATTGTACATTGTGTGATTATTTAAGGATTTGGTCAAGTGACAACATAGCTGTTAACATCTTAAAATCTAAATCAGTCACCTTAAAACTAAGGTATGTTACTATACTTCTATTCCTAATACTGCTTATCCATCCATTCAAGAGCCACACAGTCATGAAACTAGGGATGAAAAATATATAACTCGAAGCAGTTAAAAAATAATATTACTAAATCAACAGACAGGAAGAGAAGGATTCAAATGATAAAAAAAAGATAAATTAAAACAGTTGATTTCCCAATCTATTTGGGATTTAATCAACTGTCACAATACTGAATTAGCTGAATCAACAGAACAGATAGTAGTTGTTAAGTAGTTGCTTCAGTACTGAACTATTGTATGTGTTGGAGTCTTCATTAGTGCACACTGTACCTGGCTAGATCGACGTAATTCTCCCTGCAGTATCTCTGAGCTTCAGTCCAATTCAAAGGTGTGTCGACTTTTACAAAGGTTGATGTTCCATTTACTGAACCTGGAAATATATTGATGAAGAAAAGTTTTTATTATATGCTATGCAGAAATTCTATTTAGCTTTTTGTTCTTATGCTATAAGAAAACTCACCGTTATAGCACACAGAGTAGAATGGGTAGTTACAATTAACGTCCAACCACTTTCCATTGTAGTCATAGAAGTAGTAATAGTAATAGTAATAGTAATAGCTTTGAAGCACCACACAGTTCTGTTGTCCGTTAGGACTATAGGGATGTCCAGGAGCCCAGTTTCTAAACTCTGTCTCTCCTTCACCATAGAAGCTGCTGTTACTCAGGGACCATCTCCAGCCCCCACCGTAGAGGCCTATCCAAGCCTTGCCTGTTCAAACAGATGTTCATTATATAACAGCTGGAATTAAAATTGTTGCTGAATTGACTTAAATTATAGATGAATGTGTACGATTGTACATACAGTACATACACACTATGTTTATGTTCTGTATACGTTTTCAATAATTAGTACTTGCCTCTGTAGCTTGGTGTGGTCCAGATTACAGCAAAGGCATCAGTCTGGGTTTCTATGGTGGCCAGGTCAGTGTAGACCCGTCTGCAGAAGCTCTGAGCTTCAGTCCAGTTCTGTGCCGTATTCTCAAAGTAGTACTGACGAGTCCCTAAAACAAAGCATATTAAATTATTTACAGTGAACATGAAGAGGCAGTATGCATCAGGTGGGTTCAGCTATACTGTGGGGTTTTACAATACATTTTCCTCATATTCATATTTCCTCATTACGCAGAAATCACTGTATCATAACTACAGAGCAGGTAAAACAATTAGTGCTCTATGCCAGAGGTCACTAGATGGTAGGTTTGCCACCTTCAACACAGAAAAATAAGGGACTCCTGTCGGAGCAGGGACCAGCAATGATAGGCTCGATGTTGTGCCAGTGGTGGAATATCATAACGTAAAACATGTTTTCAGTAAAGTGTTAAGATTGATACCAATGAACATTATAATAAGCTATCTGCTATTAAAATCAGTGTGAACAGATCCACTCAGTTTCTCTCCATCGCAACGCAACAGACTAGCGGTCGTATTGAAATTGAACATTTAGTGGTGTTCCCACAGAATCCCTCTTTATCCGACCACTGTTTGATAACTTTTGAGTTTGTATTGCTGAACTACTCGCCACTGGGCAAAAATTTCTATACAAGATGTCTGTCTGATAGTGCCATAGCTAAATTTAAGGATGCGATCCCATCAGCTCTAAATACATTATCTAGTCACAAAGTAACGGAGGACTCCTATGCTAATTTCAGTCCCTCCCAAATCGATCATCTTGTTGATAGTGCTGCAGGCTCGCTGCGAATGACACTCGACTCTGTAGCCCTTCTAAAAAAGAAAATACTAAAACAAAGACGGTTAGCTCCATGGTATAATACTGAAACTCGCAAATTAAAGCAAATATCACAGAAACTTGAGAGGAATTGGCGTTCTACCAAAGTGGAAAATTCTCGTTTAATTTGGCAAGATAGTCTTAAAACTTATAGGAAGGCCCTCCGTAATGCCAGAGCAGCCTACTACTCGTCATTAATAGAGGAAAATAGGAACAACCCCAGGTTTCTTTTCAGCACTGTAGCCAGGCTGACAGAGAGTCACAGCTCTATTGAGCCAAGTATTCCCATAGCTCTCAGTAGTTACGATTTCATGAGCTTCTTTAATGATAAAATTCTAGCTATTAGAGACAAAATTCACCAAGACCTGCCCTCAATTGGCACCGACTTATCTCTTAACTCAGGAACCTTAGAAACAGCTGTAGAACCAGATACATGTTTAGACTGTTTTGCTTCCCTCAATCTTTACCATCTAACTCAATTATTTCTTCATCTAAACCATCAACCTGCCTCTTAGACCCCATCCCGACTAGGCTGCTTAAAGATGTTCTACCCTTAGTCAGCACCTCTATACTAGATATGATCAATCTATCTTTATCAACAGGCTATGTACCACAGTACTTTAAAGTAGCTGTAATTAAACCTCTTCTGAAAAAGCCCAAACTTGATCCGGATGTTTTAGCCAACTATAGACCTATATCTAACCTTCCATTTCTCTCTAAGGTTCTGGAGAAAGCAGTTGTTAAACAGCTGTGTGACTTTCTACAGAGCAATAGTTTATTTGAGGATTTTCAGTCAGGATTTAGAGCTCATCATAGCACAGAGACAGCACTGGTGAAAATTACTAATAAACTCCTTATTGCATCAGACAAAGGACTTGTCTCTGTACTGGTTTTATTAGATCTTAGTGCTGCATTTGATACCATTGACCATCAGATCCTATTGCAGAGACTGGAATATTTCATTGGCATTAAAGGAACCGCTCTAAGCTGGTTTAAGTCCTATTTATCAGATCGATTTCAGTTTGTACATGTTAACGATGAGTCCTCCATGCACGCCAAAGTTACTCATGGAGTTCCTCAAGGATCTGTCCTTGGACCAATCCTCTTCACTTTATATATGCTTCCTTTAGGCAATATTATCAGGAAACATTCCATAAGCTTTCATTGTTATGCAGATGATACTCAGTTATATCTATCGATCAAGCCAGATGAAACTCATCAGTTAGCTAAACTTCAAATGTGCCTTCAGGATGTTAAAACCTGGATGACCTGTAATTTTCTCATGTTAAACTCAGATAAAACTGAAGTTATTACTCTGGGGCCTAAGCACCTCCGTGACGCATTATCTAAAGATATAGTTTCCCTGGATGGCATCGCCTTGGCCTCCAGCACCACTGTGAGGAATCTTGGAGTTATCTTTGATCAGGACATGTCGTTTAAGTCTCACATTAAGCAAATTTCAAGGACCGCCTTTTTTCACCTACGTAATATTGCGAAAATCAGGAACATCCTGTCTAAAAATGATGCAGAAAAACTAGTCCATGCATTTGTTACTTCTAGGCTGGATTACTGCAATTCCTTATTATCAGGCTGCTCGAAAAAGTCCATTAAGACTCTTCAGCTGATCCAGAATGCTGCAGCACGTGTTCTGACAGGAACCAGGAAAAGAGATCACATTTCTCCTGTTTTAGCTTCTTTGCATTGGCTTCCAGTAAAATCCAGAATAGAATTTAAAATCATTCTTCTTACCTACAAAGCTCTTAATGGTCAGGCACCATCTTATCTTAAAGAGCTCATAGTACCTTACTACCCCACCAGAGCACTGCGCTCCCAGAATGCAGGGTTACTTGTGGTTCCTAGAGTCTCCAAAAGTAGACTAGGAGCCAGAGCGTTCAGCTATCAAGCTCCTCTCCTGTGGAACCAGGTTCCAGTTTGGGTTCAGGAGGCAGACACCATCTCCACATTTAAGAGTAGGCTTAAGACTTTCCTCTTTGATAAAGCTTATAGTTAGGGCTGGCTCAGGTAGTCCTGAACCATCCCTTAGTTATGCTGCTATAGGCCTAGACTGCCGGGGGATTTCCCATGATGCACTGAGCTCCTCTCTCCTCTACTTTCTCTCCCTCTGTATGCAACCTTATCCCATTATTGCATGTTACTAACACAACTTCTCCCCTTTCTGGTAGTCTTGTGCTTTCTCGTCTCTCTCCTCTCTCCTATCACTTCCTGCAGGTTTTCTGGCTCTGGAGCTGTGGAGTCTGGATCTGTGGTTGCGGGTCACCTGCTGCCCCCGTGTTCCTGCTCGACACCCTCTGCTGCAACGACTATTGTTGCTAGTCTTATTGTTATTATTGTTATTATAATCATTAACATTACGATGGTTACCATTAACACTATTATAAATATCTGTACCATTTTTCATTTAGTCTATAGCAACATTACCTTCACTGTGTGTACCTCTGTGTGTATATTGTGTAGGCTGCCTCCCTCCCCTCTCTCTCTCCTTACATCTCTCTCTCCTTACATCTCTCTCTCTCTCTCTCTCTCTCTCTCTCTCTCTCTCTCTCTCTCTCTCTCTCACCCCAACCGGTCGAGGCAGATGGCCGCCCACCCTGAGCCATGGTTCTGCTCGAGGTTTCTGCCTCTTAAAAGGAAGTTTTTCCTTGCCTCTGTCGCCTAGTGCTTGCTCTTGGTGGGAACTGTTGGGCTTCTGTAAATAACATCACAGAGTACGGTCTAGACCTGCTCTTTTATGAAAAGCGCTGTGAGATAACTGTTGTTGTGATTTGGCGCTATATAAATAAAATTGAATTGAATTGAATTGAATCATATTGTCATAGCTGGTGGTGCAGTGGTTTACACTGTCGCCTCACAGCAAGAAGGTTGTCAAACCCCGGTTGCCCCGGCCTTTCTGTGTGGAGTTTGTATGTTTTCTCTCCGGATGCTCCGGCTTCCTCCCACCCTCCAAAGACATGCAGGCTGTCCTTAGGTGTGGACTGTGACCTGTCCAGGGTGTACATCGCCCAATGTCAGCTGGGATTGGCTCCAGCCCCCGCGAGCCTGTACGCAGAATAATCGGTTGACGATGGATGGATGACTCTTCGTGTAGGGCTTCATTTCAGCCTCTGTGTCAAGCTGTAAATGCTCCTGTCTGTGTAAGCCGAGCTCTCAATGAATCCCCGCAACTGGAAATAACATTAGGCCTACTATTTCACTCATAGATTTGTTTTTGTTTTTCTGGTGCTGAAATGGTTTTCGGTATTGGTGAAGTATAAAGAATAAACAACCACCGCTTAATTTCGGGTCAAAACGTGTTGTAACGTGCGTTACTGAGATAAAAAAAAATAAACAGGTATAATTACCGATTTTTTTAGTAATGCATTATATTACTGCGTGACAGCAAAAAGCAATACATTATAATTGAGTTACTTCTGTAACACATTACGCCCAACACTAGTTGTCACATGAAAAGATTTAATCAAATATTTACAAAAATATGAGGGGTGTATACTCACTTTTGTGAGATACTGTAAGAGCGAATGAAAGAGAAGAGGAAGCATTACAGCTGTTCATTTGTTAAGATGTGTTGAGTGTGTAAAATTAGTTGAGACGACACTTCAAACTACACTTTTTATTTTAAATTTAGAATTTATTATTAGTGTAGTTATTTTTTATTGTCCCTCCAGTTCGATGTGAAAACTGACAGTAAACATTATTGATATTATTATTATTTGATTTGACAGTCAGTTGTTGACTAAAAGCATAAGTTGATACAACTACATGTTATGGCACTGATGGCACATGATAACGCAAGTTAGTGGTTATGATGTTCCGAACCTTTGCTTCAGGAAATTGTCTCTACCTGCACCTCTTTGAACGTCTTTTAATAGAATCCCCCTGCTCTATGCCGTGCTGGATTTAATGTTTAGTGTCTTCACACTTTGTATATCAGCTTGAGTCAGATCAAGTTTCAGTCTCTCTCATTA